GCGTGCGAGCGCGGCTCGCGCACAGCGGGCCTGTAGGCGTATTCATGTAGGCATACGGCCTGACAGTGGGTCCATGTACACGAGATGTGTATAAAATGGCATGGATGGACGAGAGATAGAATTATGATGGCACTTCTTTAAATAGGTGAATTGTAATAACGTATTTCCAAAACTTCAAAAATTGTATTGTGGTGAATCCAAAAAACCCATCTTGTTAAGAAGTAGCTTTTCTATGTCTTCTATTAAAATATAAAAAAATGCTTAAAGCTAGCTCATGAGTCAATCGTTGAAGCTGCCCTTATGCAATGTCATTAGATACTATTAACGAAATTAAACTGAGTGTGCGCCGAAGAACAGTAGCACCAGCATTGTCATTTTCTAGGTATTTTGCTTGAATTACATTGCTTTTTTAGCTTACGTACCACAAATTAAACACAGCCGTGTGCCTGTGAGCGGAAGATTCGCTACAAGGGGCGGTCAGTACTCAGGAGCACAGCATTGCCATTTTCTAGATACTTTGGTTAAGTAGTTTACTTTTTAATTTGCATATCAAAGCGAGGATAGCTCAGTTGGGAGAGCGTCAGACTGAAGATCTGAAGGTCGCTCACCGCATATATTTTTTAACTTTCTGTTTTGCACAGTTCAGTTCAGCTTATATTTTTTTTAATTTTTTGGTTTGCACTCAGTTCATTGTTTTTTTAAAGGCAGATCAGTTCATTGTTTGCACAGTTCAGTTCAGCTTTTTATTTTTTATTTCTCTTGTTTGCACAGTTCAGTTCATTTTTTTTTTGAAAGGCAGTTCAGCTCATTGTTTGAACAGTTAAGTGTTTTTGTTTGCATAGTTCAGTTCAGCTTTTTATTGTTTTTGTTTGCACAGTTCAGTGTACGCTCACCATATTTTTTTTGTTTGCACAGTTAAATTCAGCTTTTTATTGTTTTTTGTTTGCATAGTTCAGTGTACGCTCACTGCAATTTATTTTTTGTTTGCACAGTTCAGTTCTTGGCAGTTTTTTACTTTTTTTTGTGCCGTGTGCGCCTTACACCAATACACCGTCTCTCGCGTTTTATGGCACGAGATCCTTCATTTGGTTCTTTGACGTCGCGGAAGAGCTCTTATACTTTGAGCCTGTCTACCTCACACTCGAGTGTTTTAGAGAGAACTAGCACAGGTGTGTTTTGTCCCAAAAAAAACACACAGATTACAGGAACCAAAAAATTCATGTATTTTATAACAAGGTAGCACACGAATTTTGGCAGCCTAGCACACAAAAAGAGTCACAACAGACAAAAGGAAATCCATGTGTTTTTTCCATGAGTAGCACACGAAAATATTGCAAGGAAAAAAACATGTGTTTTTCAAAGAAGTAGCACACAAATCTTCTTGTAGTTGTACTTGTACTTGTATTCTTTGTGAAACAAGGGCAAAAAATAGAGCAGATCTGTTGTACTTGTTATTGTACTTTGTTGTAGCCCACAAACCTAACGACAAAATGACCCATGTTAACAACTACAAGGCACATCAGCCCATCAAACAAATGTGTGTCCTATATATGACCTACTTGACAAAGAAGCAAACCAAACAGATCCATCGATCTGTTCTTGAGGAGGAGCTCACGCACACCAGGGCAAAAAAGGGTGAAAACCCCATATCAGAGCAGGAAAAAAGGGGTGGGGAGGGGGGAGGATCACTAGATCCAAGGAGGCAGGACTCACCTCTACATCATCCAAGGTCAAGACACACCGATCCAACCCTTCCTTGTGTTAGATCCCTATTTTGTTGATCTCAAACGATCTGCAAAGGAATTTAACCCATTAGTTTGAAAATCAAGAGGATGACTCGTCAAGACCAATTTCTAGGCACAAAGTACTAAATTAGTAATGGAGAACCTCCAGAAAAAAGCAATGGAGAGATGCTTATGGGGTTTGGGAAAACAGGGCATTAATCGAGAAATGGGCATTTTCATAGCATCTGCAAACATAAATGTTGCCCTAATTGTCCACATAAACCCCTAACAATATCTCAAAGATAGGTTCTCTCAACCTACCATCCACATGGCCACATAAAACCACAACAAAGATGGGGCTCACTACGATGCATCCTAATAAACAATCGAGGCGCACCAGAAAAAACATACACAAATGACCACCACACTAACACCACAATTCAGCACTAAACCCATGACAATGATCGAACCACCTAAACTTTTTGGAGGTTGTGCCTTCTTGCCGCTTGGCCCAAAGACCCTAACAGTTTTTTCCCATTAAGAAACTAGTGTAGTAGTGATTAGCCTAACATTTTTTTTGGCAAACTGAGAAAACAACAAGTTCATTGTCACAGTGTAGAAAGATAATCCAAAGAGCTTACCTCTAACAAACCCGACATAGTCCCGCACCTAGGCACAACCAAATTAGGATGCATTGGAATCAACTTTGTTTAGAAAGCAGAACAAGACCAAAAGTAAGAACCTGTTTACACAGATCACATAGGACAGATCATAGATTACAAGACATAATTTATTTCTATGCAATCTTTTTCCTTCATACTAGCACAATCACAGATCCGACAGCACCCACATCTTGTCCTACCTCCACCATCCTTCATCTAACACAAACATAGATCGCATATGACAGATCACAGATTACGAGAGACAATTTATTTCTATGCAAAGACAATTTACAATCTTTTTCCTTCATACTAGCACAATCACAGATCCGACAGCCCTCACATCTTGTCCTACCTCCATCATCCTTCATCTAAAACAAACATAGATCATAGATTACAAGAGACAATTTATTTCTATGCAAGGACAATTTGCAATATTTTTCCTTCATACTAGCACAATCACAGAGAGAGGGGGGATCAGCACAATCACAGATTGCTAACTATTTCAGGCAAACAAAACAATATATCTTATGCATCTGTTTTGTTTTGTTTTCAGGTTACATCTGACAACATGGATGGGAACTTGCTACAAAATTTTGACCTGACAACACAAGAAGGGGTCAACAAATGGCAAGAAGCCCTACAGTTTATGTACCACACCAACCAAGATGCATTTCCAAATCCTATGTTCTATCACGGATGAGTTACAATGACACAAATGAGAATAGTAACAACAAAGCGATTTCACACCACTCACACTTATACCGGTTATGCATTGGCTATATTCCTATTGTAACTAGGAATATAGCCTCACACCACTCACACTTATTCCAATCTCTACAAGGACTTTTCAAGAAGCACTACTAGAAGTTAGATTCATACCTCATCATTAAGATTAGTACACCAATCTATTGAATCAAGTTCCTGGTAAACTAATTCCTAGATCACCTACGTCGGCCAAAATTAGCGAGATCCATGAGATTACATAGTGCAAAAACAGAGAGCATGAGATCTCACACACACGCACGCGCGCAAATACAAATTTCTGGGCAAATTTCTAGAAGTCATTACCTCACACCACTACCACTTATATATTATGCATTTCCTATATTCCAATTGCTAATAAATTACAAAACACAGATATGGGAATTGTAGATTTCACATAGTGCAAATTGTACTTGTTGCTAATGCAATTATACCAAATGCAATTTTCATGTGGTGCAGGGGGGGAGGGTGGCTAGGAATGGCTATAAACTCACAAACCGATTCTTTAATATCATTCAACTCTATCATATTGACATGTCATCATCTATTACTAAATGCAAGCAAAGAATAAGATGAAATTGAGATCTGAGCAGGAATTATTACACTCAAAACTATGGTTCGGCATAACTTAGGTAATATAAACGTCAATAATTAATTTCTGGTTAAGGACAAAACTATTTTTCCATGGACTTGTACAAAATACGAGTGAATCCACCTAAATTTCACAATGCTAAATCATGTACATCATCAACTGCAGCTACCATACACAAATAGATTCTGAGAACTAATATTGTTTTGTAGGCTCTCCAGTGAAGCCGCAAAGAAAGATGAGGAAATAAACTTGTAATGCTAACAAAGATCCAGAAGCCACAACAAGCTGAGGGCGCGGTGATCAAAAACATGTAGCAACTCGTCATGATCAGCAGATACAAGCAAAATTTTAGTGCCACTTTAATTTATTTATGTAATCACAAGCATGTAACAAGCTCAATGTTTTTTTGTGTACTACCCTTTGTGCCTCATTGAGTGTACTAGGTTAAACAGAATTCACAACTTCATATTACTCATCATGACGACTAGATATTGCACATGTTTGGTACCATAATTTTAGAAATTAACGAGTGCAATTTACTACTTATGAATGTGCAATAAAGAGAAATTAACGATTCCCTAAGTATGGAAGATTAGTAGGGACAGTGACAATATACAAAATAGTACAAATCTGATCTATACAAGAAGATCCTGCTGACCATTCTTGCATGATCCTGTCTATATGTACATGTATGAGCTAACGTAAGCACATCCTTCCTACAATCAGTTCATGACACCAGATGGCTCAATCAACCCCCCCACACACACACACACACACCGCATCCTGCTCCCCAACAATACACTAAAGGACCAAAACTAATGCAATAAACTCAGAGAAAACAAAATTAAATACCCATTATCTAACGAGATAGCTCGTGGTCTTAACAAATTCCACACATATTATCCTAGGGGCTAAGGGTATTCATCTCTTGTGAAGAAAAGATAACAATTAATCGATAGATACAATGCAGAGATAGTGTTGACACTCGTTAACCACCCTACACTAGACAACAAAGAATAAGCGACATCCGTACTAATAATGGTGGCCTGACCTGTCCTAATTCTCTTTTGAGGAAAATCAAGATCTTGATGTATGCTAAAAACAATACCTATCAGATTGTGCATAGAAATTTCATATCAAATAAATTATCCTTAAGAAGCTTGGTAGAAGTGTCATACTAAATTTACTGGACTAAAATATATGTTCATTTCCAGAGAGTAGGATGCCATGGCACATGAAACTCCAGTCTATATATCATCATCAACCACACTGGTTCATCAATAAAAAGACAAAGTGCCCATGGACAAAATGGAGCCCAAACTTTACACCCCTGAAAAATCAGGAACACATTCAAACTGAAAGTGAACAAGCACTGCATCAAAATCAGGCACTACATGTCTCATGCACCTGCTACAGACATTGAATACTTTCATCCATGTAAATAGATTAGCTAGCAATGCTTCTAAATTCATTCAGAGAATGGGTTGTAACTCGATCAGAAGGTACTCAAATCAACAAGCACTGCATCACAAAACGAGATCTATAGACAGAATGTGGGGGCGCAAAAATGCCCTGGCAGTTCCATCCGTGGTGCTAGTGGCCTCATCCAAACCTTGCCATGCTAGATCCCAGCGCAGAAGCAGCGAAGCAGGTCTCAACAACCGCTCGCACAAGCACCAGGTCGCTCGGCGTCTACCACGGCCACGAAAAAGCGATAGGCCGACAAAGACCAATGGCTCAGGCAGTGGCGCCGACACGGACAAGGTTCGTCGTTTTTGTTCGATGGGGATCGTGATGTGCTCCACGAAATGCCTCTACAGAAATCAGAAGCGATTGCCCACTAATCCACTGCGACTACCACTAATCCGACCACGCAAATCCGCAATCTAGCAAAGCACCCAGAGAGAGCAAGCGGGAGAGCGGCGCCGAGTTCCTCACCGCCCCGATGACAAGCAGCTGGGAAGTTCTCCTCCCAGACTCGCCGCCCGCCCTTGGCATGCGGATGAAATTTGGCGCCACAGTGGACTCGAGGACCCCGAGGTCGCGAGTGCAGCATGCCGGCGGGCGGAGTCCCGTGCGACGTTGCGGGAGGGGACGGGGAGGGAGATGGTGGCAGTGGTGGAGGGGAATGAGGTGGCGCGGCGGGGCGGGAGTGAGTGGAGAGCGCGGTGGCCGTCGCCATGGTGGTGGTGAGGGCAAGACGACCGATAGACACAGGGAGGGACGGAGCGGCGACGTCGCCACTGGAAATGAATCGGCGTCTCCGACCAGGAGAGCTGCCGGAGGACGAAGGCGATGACGAAATGGGGATTCACAAATTGAAACAGTACTCCCAGAGCGGGCCCAGCAAGTCAGGGACAAAAGAAAGCTGAGAGCGAGGAGACGTCGATTGTTGATCGGACAGACACAAAATTCGTGTGCTGAGAAGGGAAAAAACACACTGTGTGACATATAGCATTTCTCTATACTTTTTGTTTCTCGCCTGAAACATAATAGGATCCTAGCACCTAGCGGCAAGGCAGAATGAGATTCAGCGGACAGGGCCTGGGCCTGGGCCTCAGCAGAGCCGCCTGAACTCAAAACGCAACGGCGCTCTCGCACCTGCTGCACATACATCTCCCATCAAACGTCCAGCCTATAGTCGGCCGCTCATCAGCATTACTCAACAGAGCGTTGACAAGTGAACCCGTTACAGTGACATACCCTTACATCGCACCACCCATTGTGTTTCAGCACAATCTCCAAGTCGGCTTACAGGCCATCAACATGGCAAACCCCAGATCCTGGAATCTTTATTTCTCTACCGCCTCTTCGGGGTTTCACTGAAGATCCTCCTGTCACCTGGCTTCGTGTAGATGTCGTGCGGCCTGTAAACGAATACGGGTGTTCATCAGTATCATGGGATCTAATCATGCCTAGGGATGCTCGCAAGTTGTAAAAGCATCGATCAGCTACTGCACAATTTGATTTAATACCAGTGAGGTGATACCAGGCAGCAATGCCTACTACTATAACTACTATGTAGCATGCAAGTGGTTCACGTTTCTAATGTACCTGGCGGTTTCAGAGCAGACTCCCTTGGTTTTGGCTTGGGGTTTGCAGACTGCCCATTCTTTGTGAGGAACAGCCTGGCTATCCTTGATGGGGCCTTCTGCCTGTAATTGTAGAGCATAGTTTAAACAGCAGGATTCGTTACTGAAAGGGTAAATAAAAGGTAGATTGTTTGCTGCTGACACATATGTAGCGAAAGAATTATGGAAAGCCCAGCAGATTTTAACTAGTATGTGATATTGAAGTAAAAAAAGATGATGGTAAGGGATAAGATGTGGAAGGTTGAGATGTTAGCAACATACATCCGTTCTGCTGTTGCCTCTGAAGCACCACCTACAGAACACTCAGTTCCTGCTACTGAGTAGCCATCATCAGACATGTTATCTTCACATTCGGCTTCACCTGATCCACCAGCCCCTACATTAGAGGGTGAAGTGCGTCCATTACTGATTCCATTCACCACAGAATGATTTTGAAGGCATAAGGAAATTCTGTCACTAGAACATAAATCCCTTACCTGATAGTTGTCGGATCTGTTGGCTATTGTCATTTCTATCTGTTGATGAACTTGGAGATTTGGCTTTGTCCTTTAAGAGTTGATCGATTTCCATATCTTTCCGTGATATTGTGTCTTTCAGATATGAAACCTGGACACAAAAATGATTGACTTTTGAAACCAAGATAACCATAGGACGCTGAAGCTATATGCTCTAGTTATAGTAACAACTGTCAGTATCAGCAAACATTATTAACAATAATATACTTCTCGTGGAATTTAGTATCAATATGGTGAAGCATAAGTATGCACCCTATAAGGTTGAACAAACATGTCCTTCATTTTCTTCAGTTTAATAGTTAATTTGAGTTGAATTAGTGATATTAAAGAAACCTTCCCCTTTAAACTGATCACTAAAAGTTTAGGTAAAGCTTATTAATGCTGAAAGACATAAACAGGTAAAGCATAAGTATGCACCCTAAAGTATGCACCCTATAAGTGAAGTTTGTACAAAATTTGCTTCCTAATGTTGAACGACATAAACAGAAATTTTCTGAATATATATGAGACAGTTGCAAAAACCTGTTCTAGCAGCTCTTTTATATCTTTACCCTCTTTGTTACTCCTTGCAGCACCTAATTCAACTCCAGAAACTCTTTCAGCAAACTTCAAAGTGCTTATTGTTTCTGAATATGATTCAGTATCCGGATTAATTTGAACAAACATCAGTGTCTTTGCTTGTCCACCTGCATGAAAACAGAAGAGAATTATCATAAGTAATATGTCTGCATATATAAACTAACAACTACTTGATGCCCTTTTTTTCGAGGAATAATTATGTTACCTAAAGAGCTCTGTAGAACTTGAGTCAGCTTGCTGTTTCGATAAGGAACATGGGCGTTTTTCTGTGCTAAAGCAAAAATCACATCACCAAGAGCAGAGAGAGATTTGTTAATATACTGTGCTTCTTTTAATCTATCTCCAATTGCTTCAGATCGCTCAACTCTTTCACTTCCAGCAAGATCAATCAAATGTAGACATCCTCTAGAAGTAGTTCCATTCTTCAAATCCACCCCTCTAACATGCACAGTTAGAATGCTGCATGCAACAAAAGCTTTCAGAACATTATGTCACAAGAACTCAGATTGATTGATCTAAAAAAGGTATGCAACAAAAATTCTTTCAGAACAGTATATTAAGTTTGATTAATTATAGATAAAAAAAATTCCAATATTTATGATATCAAATAAATATCATTAGATGAATTACGAAATGTATTTTCAAAATAAATTAATTTGGAGCCATAAATGTGAATAGTATTTGCTAGAAATTTGGTCAAACGTGAACTACTTTTGCTGACACGCAACACGTAGTTGCATTCTTTCTTGGACGGAGGGAGTAGATCCAACCATTCTAAAAAGATATGTACCGAGATTAAGATTTGTTTATCTCAGATTATGTACTATTTACCCTTAGAGATTATATAATAAATAGAGAATGACGATTATGATTTTGTTATCATTTTTTAGAATAATATTACCATTATGCTTTATCTTACTATCAAAGCATGAAATCTAATGAACCTACTAAAATTCAATATTGTGGAAGAGAAGTCAGTTCTAGTAACATTGGTTATGGTACATACCTGTGAGATCGACTGCTCCTTTCATTCAGAGCTGTTGATCCAACTGCTCTATTTGTTTGTCCAATTTCCATCAACTCTAGTACATCCAATGTTGATTTGACTGGATGTAAACTTGCATCAGGGACAACAAGTCCGTTAGGCTGAGATGTGCTCCAAATTCCAAGTGTTTCTTTTTGTCAAGAACAACATTTTTTCTGTGCATGTCTAATAGTATGCGAGTACTAAAAATGTAATAATGAGAGATATTCTAATAGAAAGTAAACATTTGGGTGAAGGATATCTTTTTTGTGCAATATCATTTGAAAAAAGATCCCGCACTTGTTCGTTGTAAATCTCAACCATCTGCACCCCCACCTCATATGAGAAAGCATTTCTTCTACTTAGAGAGATGTCGAACAAGTCATTTAAAGCTCGATAGTTAACACCCCAATCTTCTTTTGATGTGCCTGGCCCATTCTAAGAAAAAACAAAATGTCAGACACCAGTTAGTAATATCCCCAAGACTATTATCAATTCAACTTTGTTTGAGCCCAGCACTCTTACCATTGTGTAAGTTTTTCCTGAACCAGTTTGACCATAGGCAAAAATGCACACATTAAATCCATCAAGAACTGATCTGATCAGAGGCTGGATATCAGAGAATACTTCAGCTGGAAATTAGGTAAGAAAACTTGGTGAGCAATATTCAATTATACAACTTTTAAATTTTAGATTGCACCATTAACATACTTAAGATATACCTTGAGAAGCATGTGTATTAAACACTTTGTTAAACTTGAACATTCGACACGCATCCTTCCCTTGCTTGAAGGGATTTGTGATGAGAATCTCACCATTTTCACCAATATAATCAATAACGGTTGTTTTTCCATCTTGACCAGGAAGAAATGGTCTGACACGACAATAGACTCTGATATTGCCTGATAACAAACATTAGAGTGGAAAGGAGAATGTTAGATAGCCATAAAATGTGCTCAAAGTGTAAGCTTATCATTGTAGGAACATACCTTTTAGTTCCTGTACCTCATTAAATAGCTTCTGGTTTTCAGCAAGAACCTTATGGTAATTGTCAGCAGCATCAACCAAGCCTTTCAAATCATGTCCTAACCAAGTTTGACAAGTTAAGAGCAAGATAAACAAAGTATCAGCAAACATACATATACAATAATGTCGCAACAGAAATCACGAGAACCCACATACCAATGTTAGATATTTCATCCCTCCATTTCATTTGAAGGGCAAACATTTCCTGCTTAATGGACTGAGATGATATCCTTATGTCCTAACATAGTTAAATATTAAAAAACTGAGAGGTTAGAACATAAACAAACTAAAAGAAAACAAAAAAATGATATAGGAAGATGACAGAACCTTAATGGACAATTTTTTATTATCAATAAAACTCTGGAAAATGTTTGCCTTTCTGCTCCAAAGTTGAGATTTTAGTTGGGAAGCAGATTCAATTTCTTCAGCTTTCTTTTTTGATTGCATTAAAAGAAACTCAGCCTCCTTAAGTCTCATAGCCAAGTGTTCCTCCATCTGCCTGGCTTCTGTTTCCTTTCTTTCACGGTACTGTTCATGCATCCTACTCAAGATCTGTATTTCTTGCTGAAGGGAAGCAATTGTATTTTCTGCATTCTCTTTTTCTTGCATCAGCCGAACCATGTCTTGTTCACCTAGTTTTCTTTTCTCATCAAGTTTTGATTTTTCTACCTACATGAACAAAACAAACAAATTTATGATATGTTCATTCTAACTACAAGCACTAAATGTAGTGCAACAACTCATAAGTGATCCTAGCGTTATAAGGTCCAAACATCATACAACCAATATCTGATTCATATTTTTATGAATACTGATTCAAGCAAGTAACATGATTAGAAACAGAAAAATAGATGAAGATATTTTGACTACCTCAACTAGCTCAAGTCGATTTACTGTCATCTGAAGAAAGAATCACATGTGTCAATATCAAAAGGCAATAAGTATTCCTGTGAGAATTTTCAGATCATGAACAAATTGGATAGTTACCTCATTTTCTTCATTTGTGCCATTTACTAATGTCTTGAGTGCTTTAATTTTTGAACGGTACTTGTCTTCCCGAGTCTTGATGATGCTATTTTGCTGTGAAAACAAATGATGTGTTACAGGAGTTGAATTTCTATGACAATAAATAGCGAATACCACACTTACATTTCTTATGTGATCCGCTTGAATAGCAATGCGATGCTCAATCTCTTGAACAACATTCCTTAGCAAGTAAACAACACGCTGAGACAAGAACAGGCCGACATTAGTCATCAATAACAAATGATAAATAAACAATAGCATTCCAGGCAACCTATTTATTGAAAATCACTGAAAATAGACTTACGTGTGGTATTTCTCCTCTTTTCCTCTCAATGCTCTCATCTAGAATGCCATTAACAACTCTAAGAAGTGATTGGGTAGGGGCATTCTGAGAAAAGATTGTAACTAATAAAGGGGCACAGACAAGGGAAAAAATGCGCAATGATATGATGTGATGCTGAAGATGTTACATCTAGACTTCTTGGATGCATCATCTCTGAAACTTTGGCAGGAGGAAGATCAGTGAAGGAGCCTCGCTTAAGTTGGAAAGCATCATGGACCTTTTGTCCTGCAAAGTAAGGTGAACATGCTGGATTGTTATGGGCTTATGGCTTGTTTTGTTCTATTGATTTCAGAACCATGTTGATTTATTGTAATAAAGACCGGGCTGCGTGCATAGTCATGTTGTAGAGGCCGGAATTAACATTCCATTATATCTTACAAAAAGGGTGAGCGTGACAAAGTCAAGAAACAAGATCTGAACAGGTAATGTTACTTGGATATTGAAGATAAACAAGTTAAAGGCACTATGAATATGAAACCTTGGCAACATATAGAAGTCCAAACAAGTTAAAGGCACTACGAATACGAAACCATGGCAACATATAGAATTCATTTGCTCTGAAGTAAAAAATGCCTGATTGTATGAATTTTGGAAAATATTTTTTATCATTTTATTTACGTAAACTTCAAGAATAAATGGGATATGCCACTGGAAACCAATTATAAATGGAAGCTTAGTTGTTTAAACTCTAACTTAGTATCCAATGCCACAAATGATTATGCTAAAGAAACAACAACATGAGCATACCAGAATGAAGAATACTTCTTTGTTGAGACTTAGGATCCCAGTGGCCCTTCCATCTTTCCTCCCCAGATCTTTTCCCCGGTGTCATAACCGAAATTATAGGCCCATCAGATTCTTCAAGTTCCAGTTTCCTTCTAAGGGGTGTTTTAGCAGCATTGTTTGTAATGTTTTGACCCAATCCTGTAGTCACATTATCCTTTAGAGCCAAGAGACACTCCACCACAGAAGACACCGACCCCTGTAATCATCAAACGGATTAGGGTTAACAAAAATAAGGATGAACAGAACCACAGATTCAGTTCACAATTGTGAAGCAAGTCTGGATCGTAATGTAGGAGGTACAATACATCAGCACTGTCCCTATGGTCATTAAAAAAATCTAACTATGAATTCTATTCTCTCTCTCTGAGAAATGGCACAGACTTTAAGAGGGAACTCTGAGTCCATGCCATAGGGTGTGAAGCTCTTACAGACTTACAGAATTCTACAGCAGAGTTGTAAGATCTAAGAACACTTTGAGTTCACTATTCCTTACAGTTGGACACTTTTCAACCTTTCCAGCTGCAACTAAAAGGTTATTGCTGATTCCAATCAATCATAGTCGAGCTTTGAGGGACAACTCATATATAGGCACAATTGTGAATAGATCTTCATACTGATATAGACCCATCATTGCTATGCAGTGTCTACAACAGGTCATTATTGCCAGTATTAAGGACTGACACCAACTATGCTAACCATTATTAACATACACCTTGGAAAGGAGATGAGAGCACCATTTAGTTGGAATGAAACATACTAGCAATCGCTACATATACCAGACAAATCTTCACATGACAGGAGTAACCTCACCTCCTCCAGATCCTTGACACTGAAGCCTGGCAGACCCATTTCCGCAACGAAACAGAGGAATTTCTTCACATTTGACCTCTGATCCGATGCATTACCACCCCACATTTCCTGTAAACAAAGCCTCATGTTTAGGTCAGCAAGAGTAGCATGCACCATTAGTTCAGCCTCCCTGAGCTGAGTGAGCTCACCTCCTGAATGCCGGGCATGAGTTTCTCTGCAATGTAGCATAGTGCCGTGCCATCAATGAGGTACTCCCGCAGCTCCTCGTCTGAAGAATCCAAAGGCAAGTCGAACTCCGGCAGCAACCCACCAAGCCAATCTATCACCTCTGCTCTCCGGTTGGCTAGGAATGGTTTATCGCCCAAAGAAGCAAAAATCGTTAGAAATGCACAATAAATAACCTCGGGTCCTCAAATTCAAATTTAAATCCCCAAAACAGCAATTAGAACAAAGACCACATTTTGCCTACAAAAAAATCTGACAGACCAATGTTTAAGGAAAATTGCTGCATCTCCATTTCAGAAAAGGGGGAAATTGCTACAACGCACTGCATTGCAAATACCTATCAAGAGCACCAGACTTTCCAAATACTGGCAAATTCAACCGGTAAAGCGTCAAACCTGGAGCATAACAACAGCTGAATCGCGCCAGTCTACCATTTTTGCCAAATATTCACATGATGAATACATACTAAACGCACGGAACTTTCAAAGATCCAAACTTTGAGCTCCAGGACTAGAATTAAGGCGTTAAACCATTCCCCACAGTAAAAAGGAAAGAGAAGGGGATGGCTCAGATCGACGACCATCTCACCTGCATGGAACTCGTGCTCGCCGTCCACGTTCCCCATGCCTCACCGCCGGGGCTTGAGCATGCACGGGACCGAAATGCTGGCCGATCTGGGCCCAGATCGAGCCCTCCGCGGGGCAGCTCGGGTCCGCCCGAATCGAGAGGCTTCAAGGCAATGCGGGAGGCGGATCGACGTGAGCTCGAGGGCTTTTGTCCTGGATTTTCTTGGCCTCTCCTTATCCCTCCTCTCGTCCTCCTCGTGCCGGGCGGAGTTCTGCGCAGCGCTCAGGCTCAAGCAGCTTTCCCTGCAGTCCTGTGACTTCTCCGCTTCACTGGGTTTCCCAGTAGTTGGGTTTTGATTTTTGGTTTTGCTTGCAAGTTAAGGCCGGTGGTCACTGGTCAGTGTGCAGTGGTGCAGTACCATGCCGTCCCTCCCAGCCCATCCCAATTATCCCACCTTAAAGCTCGCGTGAATTTACCGTTAGCGCGAGTAACTATAGCCTTGTACAGTACTTGTCTCAGTTAAACCAGATTTTTGAACGTCGTGTCTCATGCAGATAGGGGCGTTGTTTTCACAAATTGCGCAGTCATTTCAATACTTTTATAGTTCTACTGCAAGGATGTACGGCAATGATTAGATTTACAGCTTCGGTAACCTTTCAGTTGTCTAAGCCCTTGTTTAGTTTCACCTCAACTTTCAAAAAGTTGCTACAGTACTTGTCACATCGAAATGTTTGCGACTCGTGCATAGAGCATTAAATATAGACGAAAAGAAAAACTAATTACATAGTTTGGTGGGAAATTGCGAGACGAACGTTTTGAGCCTAATTAGTCCATGTTTGAACACTATTTGTCAAATAAAAACGAACATGCTACAGTAGCCCCAAAATCTAAATTTCTCCAACTAAACAAGTGCTAAGACTAATTTATTTCTTCACCTCACCTTTTTTAGACGGTCTACCTAAAGCTATAACAGCATAGCCCTTGTTTAGTTCCACCTCAATTTTTAAAAAGTTACTACAGTACCTGTCACATCGAATGTTTGCGGCCCATGCATGAATCATTAAATGTAGACGAAAAGAAAAATTAATTGCACAGTTTGGTGGAAAATTGCGAGACGAACGTTTTGAGCCTAATTAGTCCATATTTGAACACTATTTGCCAAATAAAAACAAACGTGCTACGATAGCCCCAAAATCTAAATTTCTCCAACTAAACAAGGACATAGCTTGAAATAGCAATATGATTGAGTGATATAAAAGTAACAAAATAGCTGACCGAATAGGCAAAGGAGTGATCTATAAGTAACAAAATTTAAGTTGCTTGAAATTAGACTCAGCCATGCTACTCAAAAGAAAAAAAGGACCCACCCCATGCCAATTAAAATATTGTACTTTCTCCATCTCAGAAAAGTTGATTTGTAAAAAAAAATCAGCAGGGACGGTTCTCATGGGCAACCATAGTTCCTATTGCGGATACATGACACGTCTACGTATAAAATCATCCAATGCATATGACTGTTGCATAAATTTAGGAGCAATAGTTGAAACAGAAAACTCCACCTTTTTTATGCATTAGATGATTTTGCATTCCATGTGTCATGAGTCTACAGTAGGTGCTCAGCCCCATGGAGACCATTCCCATTGAATCCCCCCCCCCACAAAATAGAGTCTTGTTTAGATTTTCTAAAAATTATGAGATGAGAATAAGATCAAAACTGGTGGATTCTAGAGGAGAATTCTTAGGCAACTCCAACCAATCCTCAAAATTTGGCCCCCTATTCTCACAAATGAGGATCCCTCATCCAGATTTCAACCCTCATTTCTCTCTGCACTCCAACCGAACTCTCATTTCAGCCTCCCTAATTTCTCTCACCTTTATTTTATACATAACTTCTAACTACCAAGTCCAGTATTTTATATCTAAACCGTGTTAGTATTATTGGAATGGATACTTGTTAACAACATTTTTTTACGGCTAAATATTGGAGGAATTATTTTTTCAAATAATTGGCAACTATTATTTTTTCTCTCCTCACGCCACTCTCACAGCTCCCTCACAACACTCCACACTACTGCGGGTGGGGCAACGTGGGCCGGTTGGGAGCAGCGACAAAGCTTGATTAAATAATGCCAAAGCTTGCAGGGCTAGTTTGGGCAATGGCGGCCAGCTGCAGTCTGAGTCTGGCAAGAAGACAAGATGGGGCTGCACTCGGGCGCGTCGACGAGCCGGCCTCCACGGAACGAGCGCGCGTGCAGGAGATCGGAGCGTGGCCGGTGCGGCCAGATCCACAACGCACAGGTTCTTCTCCCTCACTCTCTCAATGAATACAGGTCACCCGTTGCCCTTGAGCGAGCATGGGTAGGGATGAAGGCCACGGGTAGAAGAAGGAAGTGGTTGCGCGCACCTGAACGGAAAACTCAGCGGCGACGCAGGAACCGGGCCATTGGTCTCCCAGGCGGATGAGGGATCGGTTGAGAGTCCCCCACATCTAGGAGATGAGGAGAGAGAAATAGGAGACCCTCATCCATCGGGGTTTGGATGAGGGATTGGTTGGAGACGAAATTTTATGTTTGAACCCTCAAAAATAAGATAGGAGTTGAGATAGGGGGCTGGTTGGAGTTGCCCTTAGGGCCAGTTTGGTAACGCTCCTAACGTAGCTCCCACTGCTCTAGCTCTGACTCGAATTCAGGTGACTCCTCTATGCACCTTGACCCAAACATTTGGCAGTGCTTCATGGGGTGGATTCTTCCTCTTCCTAGAATGGATGCACAGTGCCACTATGTTATTCAACCTCCATATGGCACACGCCAATGCTCATGCCATGGAGCAATAGGTCAGCGCAAATCTCCTCCAACTTGTCCCCGTGGCTGTGGATCGCAAAGAGGAGCAGCATGCAGTGGCGAAGATGGCTAAAGAGACGGAAGTGGATATGACGGCGAGAGGCAGATGTAAAAGTGTTGTGGAGCAACAGTAGGGCATGCATGATGCATCCCTCCTCATCTAGTGTTCAGCAACCTGTGGAACAACAATGGTGAAGAGGAATGGCACAGCCAGAAAGAGGCGGACCTCGCTTGCCATGAAGAGTTCACCGCCTTGTCATGTAGGAGTTTGTGGCAAAGTATTCGTTCTGTCTTGTTCTCCTACTAAGCATCCTTTTGCTCATGTAAGTTGTTTGATACTCCCTTCTTTCTAAATTAAAAGACGTTTTGAGTTTTCTAAATACATAGCTTTTGCTATGTACTTAAGGCCTGTTTGGTACGGCTATGGCTCCGACTCAGGCAGCAGCTTCTGCGGAGGAGGCGAAGAAGACCTACCAAATATTTTAGGAGGAGAAACCATTTTCCGATGAACGATGGAGAAGTCATGTTCAAAAAGTGGTTCCTCCTTAAGGCTTGTTCACTTCCTTTGGATTGAGTCCTTGGGATGATTCCCAGATGAAATGGTTCACTATGCTCAAAAAAAAAAAAAATATGAAATGGTTCACTAATTTGTACTATAATCTTGATAAGTTGGAATGGTTCCTAGATCCATTCTAGGGTAACTGAACAGACCCTTAAATGCTCCGAGCACTTGAAATGGAACCTTGCCAAACATGACCTTAAATATATCATTGTGTCTAGATACAACCGATCAGCGGCGACCACATGATGGTGTGTCCTATTCTGTTACGTGTGGAGGAGCAATTTCTTTGTGTTTTTGGGCAGCACGTGGTCACACTAAAGCGGTGCATGGAGGAACTAGAGAGAGGAGACTAACAATCTAGTGTTAACTTCCTTCTTACATGCATGTGGTGTCCTGATGTTGGTGGGCCCATGATGCATCATTAAGCCGTGATGAAATCAAGCAAGGAAATTGAGTATTGGGAAAGGTTAAAAAATGGAGACAATGTTGCAAGCTTTGTATTGGCAAGAGAGGTGGAGTAATGTTTTTTTCCTCGATGAGGCTCGGCTAGAGTCTTGGGGTTCTGAGAGCAACTCCAGCAGGAGCACCCAAATCAGAGCCCCTACTTCCGATTTGGGTGCTTCCCCCCATTTTTGTTGGCCTTATATTTTGCTTCAACTCTAGCAGCACCCCCTAAAGAAAGGCCCCCAAATCCATTTGAGCAAACAATGACACGAGGGACCCACTTGTCATTGGGTCAGACCTTTCTTCTCCCCGTTCTCACACACACAGACACAGACCGAAAGATCCACGGGTAGGAGTCGCTTCCGTTAGAGGGAGAGAGGGAGGGAGGAGCTGTGTCCATTGGAGGAAGGGAGGAGTCGTATGTCGACGATCGGGCAAGGAATCATGCGTGTCCATCGGAGGGAGCCGGAGCAGGCCATACGTGTCACGTCGGCCGAAGGAAGGGAGGGAGGAGTGAAAGATCCTTGTTTGGTTTTGGTAATTGAGTGACAACCTAGGTGGACTAATATGTGTTTATGTGAGATACACAAGTGATTAGTTGACAAGTACATGCGTGTGAGCAACATATGCCATGACGGTGAAGATGGCTTGGATATGTTGTAAGGCTCACACATGTGATGAAGGAGCTCATTGCATATGAGACATGACATTGAGTCATGTGACTAAGGTGGAGAAGATCAAGACAAGACTTGGCTTGATGGACCGGTTGCAAGCATGAAGGGTAAGTTGGAGGCTTTGGAGCGATGGACCGTTTGGCGGTGAAGCTTGAGCAAGACTTGGCACTGATGGACGAAGGCAACAGTGAAAAGCAAGTGAGGTCAAGATCGATGAACCAATACGGTCACGTGATGATATGAAGTGGATCATATCATTTGGTGATTGGTTGGTGCATGTGTTGCATCAACAATGGAGGAGTTGGAATGGAATGCGCAAGGCAAAGGTATAACCTAGGGCATTTCATTTCACTAGTCATAGGTTGTGTAGAGAAGTGCTTGACCGGGTTTAGGATAGATGGCCGTACTATCAAGAGGGGCAAACTTGTTTGCATATCGGTGATCTAACTTTGCATCGTTGCTAGGATCAAGTGGCATGGCAAGTTGAGTGGTTAACTCCTTGAAAAATGTTTGTGAAAAGCTAACACACGTATACAAG